AGTGAACAGGTCACCATATTGGCCAGGTTATAAGGCAGACGGGGAACCAATCAGTAAGTCCTCTTCAGATTATCAAACTGTAACAGTGTTGAGTGTCAATTAACGCCTCTTGTCAGTTAGTGTGATTGCCAAAATCTTGAACTGATGGGACGGAGGATTTGCAAATCAGTTCCGATCGGCTCCTGTGCCTTAATCTCCCACGCCGGACGCTCCGATTCATGATACACCGCCGGTACCACTGGTGGATTTTCCTTGGTCTTCGTGGGCTTGTGAGTGTTGCGATTATTCAGTTTCTCGGCGGCCTGTTTACTTTCTACTATGTTCTCCGATTCTGGTGTGAAGTTCCCTGGCCGTTTGTCCTACATGGACCTCAGTGTAATCGTTTCACAAAATTTTGCAGACACCGCCCCTAGTTCTGTCTGCCAATATGGTAACCTATACATTTGGTCTGATGAAGCTTTTGTATCAAAAGCGAAACGTTGCCCATTTAAAAACCATCGATTTTAACAATCTCTTCTGACACGATGACATCTCAATCGGTTCCAAACCTTTTCAAATCTACTGAAAACGAATACGGTCCAAGTGTCCACAAATTGTTCAGTGACTACGTTCGACTTGCAAGACTAGAGGCAAACTGGGAGAACTACCGCATATTCAATAACAGATGCTTAAAGCAGAACATAATTCCTACATCTTGGTTGAGCCACATGACACGTCACTCGTTTCTGCCTGAATAGCATTTTCAGCGACCAAGCCATTCCTCAAACAGCTAATTTACTTGGCTAATCGGCGTTTATCTGATATACATCAGCATGCAAGTCGGCCCAACCAAGATCTTCAGACACTGCTCTCTCCTGCAGAATTCCAGTCACTCCAAACCAAAGCGACAGAAGTGAAAGCCATCCAAGGACAGCACTACAAAGGGAGACAAGTACGTAAGTTCGAAGAATTGCTTTCTAAGACTCAGCTTTCTAGTGAGCCCATGACCAAGCCTTAGCCATCTACTAGCTATTGTAGCGTGGTAAGTTTATCAAATAGACCGCTGAGTGAAAAAGAGTGTTCTCCGTTAGACAAGGGATTGATTTTCGCAGTAAGCCGAGAGATTAAACCGATCGGAACTGATTTGCAACTCCTCCGTCCCATCAATTCAAGATTTTGGCAATCACACTAACTGACAAGAGGCGTTAATTGACACTCAACACTGTTACAGTTTGATAATCTGAAGAGGACTTATTGATTGGTTCCCCGTCTGCCCTATAACCTGGCCAATATGGTGACCTGTTCACTTGGCCTGATGAAGCTTTTATGTCCAAAGCGAAACGTTGCCCAATTAAAAACTACCGATTGCTTACTAAGCCTACAGAAGTCGGCTGCCATACGGATCACATCAGTAAGCTAAAGGCACGTCTCTTACAAGCTCCATCCGCATGAGCCATTTCCTTGGGATGTATCTTTATATGAATACCTGAGTGTTATTCCAAGGCGGGGAGAATTGAGGAGTCCTGAGCTGAACCCGCGTGATATTTCGAGGCTTTGGACCTACAGACACGTTGAAAATGTCCAATTTTTCCACAACTCTTGCACACTGATTCTTTAGCGGGACACTTATAACGAGGGTGCTTGGGGTTGCCACAAAAGTAACATGTTTGTTGTGTAGCGGCCGAAACTGTTGTTTCGGAATTAACAATGGGTAAAGGAGTAGATACCGAACAAGTAACGGGTTGTCTGTATACGTATGATTGTGACTGTTTTTGTGCAAGTTCGAGAGCTCGCGCGGCTTCATGGGCTTTGTCAAGGTCCAATTCATGCCACGTTAGCAGTTTCTCCCGAATGGTATTCGACTGCAATCCGGTTATCAGAGCATCCCGAACTGCTTCGTTTGTATGTTCCACAGCAGATACTGCTTTGAATTCACAGTCTTTAGCAAGCGATTTCAGTTTTTGAACGAATTGGTCGACATCCTGACCAGGTTCTTGTTTGTATGTGGCTAAAAGATGGCGTGCATACACGATATTTTTCGGGCGGATGTAAAGTTTTTCCAGCAAGGTTATCGCAGAATCGTAGTCGCTGCATTCTGCGATGAAGTCATACACTGTATGGTCGATGTGACGAATGAGAGTTTCCAATTTATTTAGACCTTCGGGTTTGACTGAGTTAATGTAAGCTTTGAAAGTACGGAACCAATGAGTCCATCGTTTCATGCCATCTGATGAGTGAGGATCGGCATCAAAAACCGTAGGTCGGAGAATATGATCCATTTCGTTTTTATTAGACGATTAAATTGTTGCGAGAGTCGAGTAGTTCCAGGACGGGATTAGAAAGGAGACAGAATAGGAAGACGTAATGTACGCTTTAATCGTCTAATAACTGTAGTACATGAGCTGAAAATAGAGTGAGAATCACGAGTTAATGGGTTATGCAAATGTATGGGTTATATAGTCATGACACTGAGATACCAATTATCAGAAAGCAGGATGAAAATGGTAAACATTACCGGTTATAAGCTACGTAATTTTCACGCCCACATCACTCCTTTAATGGCGAAGTTATGCTCATCGATTCACACTAAGCGGAGCAAACGCAAATTCCGCCGCTTTTGATGTCAGGAAACTGATCACATCGGTCAACTGTGGAACATGTTCGCCTGCTCTGACGTCAAAATTTAGGTGCATTCAGCGTGCCCCGGTGGATTAGTGGTAACACGCTAGCCTCGCAGTTCGAACTTCGGCAAGACCAAGGATAGGCACTGCTGATGAGATCTGATAAGAGCGGGACTCTAGTCCAGTTCCTCCCCTGTTTTGTGTGGACTCACCGGATTACCTGTTCAAGGACTGCTGGGCGACCGTTCAAAACTTAGTTTTCTACCTTCTCTGGACGTCGCGTAAATGCCCAGCTACTCCCCTTAAAAAATCTTGAGCAAGTGCTCCAATCAACACAAATCCAGAAAAATACCTAAAAGACTTAGACTGAAGTAAGTCACTCGTTGCCATTCTTTGATTATCGGCTGATATTATTCCAGCCACACTTATTCAACATTCCAGAGATATACGACTATGTCATAATGCTGCTCGGAATGCAGCTGACACATATTTGCGTAAAGAAAAGTGCTAGTCGATACTGAAGCTAAGTAGAGAAGAGAGAGAATGATTTCAGTAACCGTCAAATTGTTTGCTATGCAGTTTGTCGTTTTACGGACTTCTGTATCATTCTGGACACGCTTTCGCACTCTCCCACCTATTCATTGGCCGCCTGCACTTTTATGATCAGTCATGTGACTACTTTTTCCCATTCTTGTCCATCTTCAAATTCTTAACGCACTATCAACCGTAGCAGCCTAAAGCATCCCTGACAAATCCCACGGATTTCCTTACACAAGCAGCTAGATCGAGGTCTCCCAGTCCGGCCCCCATACGGGTTGGTGGACAGGTTCCGCAGTGCGAAACTATCCAGTTCGGTTTGAATTTCATTCACCATTACTTGACAGTCCATGCGGCAGCAATGACCGCAACCAATCAGCATTTCTTATTTGCTTGGGCTCGGCAACGTGAAAGACACGGATAATTCTACGTCATCTTAGTGACACTGTGCGCGTGGAAGGTACCAACTGTTCTATAGTTTGCAACAGAAGGCTGACCATCGCTGGACGGCACAAATAGTCTGTGAGCCAGCATGTTTATTCAGGCGACGTTCATACCATTTCTCTTCCAACATTGCATTATTTAGTGATTCCAATATGTGTTGGTCGAGACTTACTAGAAAATGGTAAAGCTTTTAACAGCTTGCGACTGGTCATTTCCATGTGGCTTTGTTGCAATTTTCAAGGAAACCATACCATGCACCCTAAATATTCTTTCAAAGATGCGTTTCTTTACAGAGTGGCGAATGAACCTGTTGGTTTGGGTTGTACAAGAATCATTCTAAGCTAACTGTTGTATAATGGGCACTTCAAACACGACTTCTTCCATTTTCCCGTCATATTGATATTCAATAATTAGACACTGTTGCCTAACGGGTTCCAGGGGATGTCTCTCCGACGCACTCCTGTCATCATGGCTGACACTGGCGGACATAACTGATTATCATATCTAATTTTAACAGTCTTCTTTCATTGTTCCAATCGGCCCATTCTCACTGTTCTCTGGGTTGGTCTTCTCCATTGTAATGGACGCTTTTCTCGCGTTTGACATTTAGTTAGATTCCATCAATTTAGCCTCTTAATGTATTGACTGGACGTTTACTCTAATCGATTTGACTTGTCTGGTTGAATAGGGCTTTCCTGCTTTCTTCTATGAGTTTCTGATGTGGTTTAGGGCTCTCTAGTTCTGGCGTTTCATCGTTCTTAGTGATTGATAATTTTATATATAAGTTTACACATAAGCTTAAATTGGTTCCAAGTATGAACTTGTTTTGGAAACGCATCATACCTGTTTAAGTACACAAATAATATATTTCGAACACACCAATACCGAGTCAGAGGAGGTATTGGGGGGATTCACTCCCTTTAAAGAGAACAACCCAGGCTAGTCAGCCATCCATTGCATGATTGAGATTTCGTTCCATAAGGAGAGTGGTTCCATTTGGACGTCATGAAGACAGAATGCTGTCAATCCCAAAAGAACCAGTCTGGTTGAGCGTGTAGCAGCCAAAGTGACAATTTCCGCTGACAAACTTATCAGTCTGTCGATTCGGACAGAGTGCGGAACGCCTACTAAATGCTACGTGAAACAACGGTAATGTCAGTTTACTTTATAGACGAATTGCAACACTGCAGCTTCCGAGAAACTCCGAAGAATGTGCGCTGAGGTACTGCTTGTTTTAAGCAACATAGAAACAATTTATTATAACCAAATAATGCGGTAACAGTGTGAGAACAAGTTGGCTGAGCAATAACGCTGTCATTTAATGTTGTAAATAAATTCAGCTATCTCGTTTGCATCAAGCAAACCGTCACCGTTTTTGTCCAAACGCACAATAAGTTCAGCTATTTTCTCTTCGCTCAGTTTGTAGTTGGATTTGTGAAGATACTCCCTGAGTTCATGCGCGTCAACGAATCCATCATGGTTAGTATCAATCTCGTTCATCAACTTCTGAACGGCGTCGGTTTTCCTGAAAATCAATATTGTTATTAGCATATTTCAAACTCAGCATGGTATTGCTAATATTTGATGTCATTTAACCGAACTGTATTGTTAGCGAATATACACTCATTTGCAAACTAATTTGGTTTTTCGAGAGACTCACCTGGAACCCAGCTGAACCTCTCGTTTGTGATGTTTCCAGGCAACTGAACGTGCTGCACCAGGCCGCCTCATGTTTCAGTTGCTACCATATTCGAGATATCGCGATACATGTATATATTTGTGATGTACTACTGATAGGTTTGCTGGACTGTCGAGGGATTTTTCAGCAACGCTTTTAGTAGTAGTACATCACAAACCATATTGTTGTTATTTATCATTCTGATGACTGGGAATGAATCCGATTCATTGAAGTGTTTCGGTTAAAAGAACTGCTACAAAACAAGACTTTTTCAAGTGGAAAGTTTTGATCTGGAATTTCGGATTATAATTCAACATTGCCAATTAGCCAGTTGGTGAAAAGTACCATTGCATGTCAGAGCAAACAATAATACAGTGTCCTCACAATTCAGTGGTCTCGCAAAATCAGCGGTATAACTTGCAGGGTGAACGACAGACTAGTGGAGGACGAGCAGTTCAAACGATTAAAACAATAGTAGTTGGAAGTCTACACAACAGTCTTAAATCGTCCTCGACGTTTGGTGGAGTGAAATCTCATTTGAACTGGTTTTTTCTCTCTAGGTGATCCCTGAATCATCAGGACTTATGTATTTCCACTAATCAGTCGTCGTAGGCTGAGTTTGTGACCTCAGGGAAACTTGAGCTCAATTTTGAGTCTGTTTTGCTTTTATGAATATCAAGTAAGGTGATAGTTGTTTAAGCGATTGCGACTATAGATTCTAACTTACTCAGACATAATCCCTTATGCTTCACAACCAGCTGAGCGTCTCTGGCCCTTTTATATGCATTCAAATATAAACTTCCTACTGGTCAGTGCTAAAATTTACCGTATATGAATCTCTCAGCAGTGACCTCATTTACTAACCAGGTCAGAGACTGAAAATAGCACACGCTGTGCAAACCAGGCGTTTCAGTTGATTATAGGTTATATTTGGCACCGACATTAAGTACGTGGTTTAGTGAGCGCATGTATACACCACAGTTTCAATGAATAGTTTAGTATAATTTTATACTAAACGGTACCTTAAAGCGATTGTACGACAAACCTGAACCGCATAACTTTGCAACACACCAATATTTACCCCCTGAAGGAACTTGTCTAATGGGCAACTGTGGAAAATGGCTTCCTTTACCCCCGGTTTGTTCTAACCTAGAAAGAAAACTCAACACATAGGTAGACCGACAATGTATGAATAGTGCTCACTAAGAAGTGCACAAATGACGCGCGCGAAACCAGCCACATTACACTGGTCGGTTAACACCTGAAGACGTAACGTGTGGAGTCGATAAGATCTGATAGCTTAGCAATGAGCACTTTGATGGACCTAGCTGTTTGGATAGGAACAATTCTGATTGAGAATACTCGAAGAGCTCGTCATTACTCGCTTTCACTCAGAAGTCCGGAACGGAAAAGGGAACAGTCGCACGTGACCTGGTTTCATCGGACTCTGCTAACAGCGAGTTGCACTCGGAGGTGAGCTGCTTTCATCGATCTTTGAAGCGAATCCACTAGAATCGTCAAACCCTCCGGTTTCACTTCAGTTGTATGCTGGTACTGAGTAAACAAATGCAATGAGCACCATCTAACCAAAGAAATCGTCATAGACAGGGAACTGGTAAGCATGATTTACTGTGAACTCTAAACACATACTACCATGCAAAGGTAGAGGAGTTGAAATGTCGCCTTTGTAAGTAAGAAGTGTGATGATCACGTCTGTCACATGCTGTTTGATGTTCTGGGGCAAAAGACACATAACCACTCCTCAGCCTATCCAAGTCTATAGAAATTTGAAGTCAGTTGCTTTTACTTCTGCGGCTAGGAAATCTTTTGTTTCTATTATGGCGTTTCGCGGCCTTTGAAGTGAATCTAATTCAGGTACTTTCACTGCGTTTGAGGCCCAAATCATTCAGCATGCCACCGTTCAGCAAATCCGTACGACTAACTCTGGACCGACGGTTCACTGGACGACTATCACATCGTCTACTAAGGAAGACTTTTGTGAATATTACTCTTCATCTTATTTCATGTGCAAAATGTTGGATTACACTTCTTTTTAATATCGCGAAAGTGAACAAACGATAACAGTTTTTAGTGTGACAAAGTGCACACCTTAAAAACGCCGGGTCACGATACGCGCACATCTGGCCACTGCCTGCTGCATTCTGTTGGCACCAATAGACTGTATTTCCGAGGGCCAATCACCTTAACATAGAAGAGAGTAAAGTATCGCCCACGTCTTAATCGCAATGGAAAACATTCCTGTCAATTTTGAGATAGAAGCAGTCTTCCAAGTCCAGGCACATCCTCGAATCTCCATATTGTGAAAGGCAACTGACGCTCGTGCACAGTAAACCGCATGGAACCACGGGAAATGTAGTACACGGTTTTACTTCAGCGTTTTTATCACTTCTGTAATTGTATTTTAGAAAGCTAGTAATGATAGGTGTCGCTTCGAAAATTTAGTCAAGCAACAAGAAAATCAGTACACTGGATCTCAGTTAAGTAAGGCCATCAAAGCAAACAGGCACTAGCCAAGAACTGGTGATTGCAAACACCAAAACATGCAAAGAAGTGCATTCTGTGGCAACTTACTAATCATACAATCCCACGGTTTTTTTGGCCAAAATCCAGGACTGTCTACTCTGGTACTGCCTACCATATTTTATGATTCTCCAAATAGATAGCCTCTGGGCCTCGACAAAGGCTCGCATGTTTCCTATAAACAAGCCATTCAGTGGTCTACTACAAAGCCAGCCTGCCCACATCGGTGTGAAATTGAATGTGGAGAATTTGTGATGTGGGACTTATACCGAGAATTGAGTGAATCCCCTCGAACACCTTGTTCATTTTGGTTGTCATTACCAACTAACCCTTGTTTGATCCAATGAAAGTGAACTGTTTCTCGCCGCTTTCTAAAACGTGGCCTTTGATGGAGGATCTGGTTATGGCAAAATAGAACTTGGGTCGATTGATCACTGTTGGACAGAATGTCCGAAAGACAGCCAATTTATTTCGATAACATACTGTGAAGTCATCAAAGCACCCGGCTCAAATGTGTTGTCTGGCCTGATTTGTTGTTGAGACAACAGCTAGCTATGCATAGGTCCACGTCACACTGCAAAGTGAGTCAGGTTTGATCAAATGTAACACGCTAAACCAAGTGATTTGAAGTCAGTGACCGGAACCCAACCCCGGCGTCTTAGCTGTTCCAGTAAAGGCTGTCGGTATCTCAGCCCTCGTGGTTCTTTCAGGTGGCATGACAGCTAAGCATTGAAAGTGCTAAAGCTGAACGACTACGAATGTGACTAGTAAAACAAAACAAACGGATCATCCTATATGGGTGGAAAGCGTATGAAATTTGAGGAAGCTGTATCATGCTGCACTTCTAGCCGGCAATCCAGAGGGATGGATGAACCCTTTTCTCCAAAAGGGATACATGTCCTCCGTTGATTCTGTTTCTTACAAGCACAATGGTGCCGCGAAATGCCTTTTTGCAAGTGTTGGAGCACCTTTAGTGATCTAAAGGTAAATCTCTGTGACTAGTGTTCAAATCGGAATAGTCGACTTCATTTTCATCAAGTTCATCCGGCGGCGTAAGTTTCAAGTGCATGAATGTTTCCAGGATTCGGGTCGGCATTTGTTACACATACATATAATAATTTTAACACATTGTTTTACCCCCTGCGTTCTGCTGAGTAACTGATTTAATTGGCTATTACAGTGCCTTACCAAGGCAAAGTAGACTTATTGCACACATGTTCTGTGAAGGAAGGTGGAAATTACTTTTTATGACAAAATTCGACAAGTCCTTACGAGACATCTTTGTGGACAGCTGTCAGACGCTGGCAGGTCATATCAATTGGTAAAACTATTCATTCAAACAGGGTGTTCGACTGCACGTATTCAGTAATTTGAAGGTCAAGGCATCACCTTGCTTATCAGTTGCGTGGTGCTAAATTCAAAATCGGCTTTTTCGTGCAGCTTTTGTCTGAGTATTAGCGTATCATGAATGGCTCCTTATAGACTGCTATTCTCCTCGACAAAGAGCCTAGATACGACCAATCTGGACATTCTTCTCAGGACAAACCGATCTAGCAGTTCTCTAGATACATTCGGACGAGAATGACTAATCCTTTCATACACTTTTGAATTTACAGAAACACAGCTTCAAAGGTTCAGGTTTATCAGAACTGTGTCCGCACAATTTCGGTTGGCGCGTGACACTGGACATTACATCCTACCAACAGTTGGGTTGTCCTTATTAGTGCCATGGTCAGCAATGCACCAATGGTTAAAAACTGATGCTCAGCTGTCAAGGTAACACGAACGGAGAAGACCTTGAAAAACGTGGAAAACGGAGGTGTAGTTACTGCAAAATGCTGCTTGTATTTAGAGATGTTAATGAGCAAGGAGCACGCACCTACATAAATCCGCTTGAGCATCACATTTGGGCAAAGCACTATCAGCTGGATCGTCCAACGCAAGCCCACTACATGACAAGAAAAAAAAGCGGTAACTAGACAGTCTTAGACAGGCCAAGAATTGACAACAAGGCCATCACGCGCAAGGAGAATCGTAACCACTGCCCACAAAGGCACGAAGGTCTGGCAGTAGCCAATTTCAGTTCAATATCAATAATAAAGAATGAAAGTTCAGCTCCAACACCCTTTTGGTGCATAGCTGTCATGCCAACCAAAGGACTCATGATGGCCAAGCCTGAACAGAAACAGTCGAGATTCTGAGGTTAGGCTAGAACCACGAGTTCTAATGTCAGGATATCTTGAGGATATCTTGAGCTCGTTTTTTTTGCGTCTCCACATCCGGGTCCGTATTCCGCGAACCTTTCAGGAACTTTGATTTGGATCCAACTGGTTGTAACCCGACTCATTACCCAGTGTTCGCTTACGCACCGCTTCAGCGCGTGATTGCTACAGTTAGTTAACGACTGTTATGCTACAGTGATATGATTGGTTAAATATCCGGTGTTTTAGATTTTCATTTTGAACAAACAAATGTTCACCGGCATAGATTTCGTTGATATTTGTCTCTGAATTCAAACGTGAGGCAGTTTGGCAAATACTACCAGTGCCTTTATGATGCGTGCAATGGCTTCACTTGTCACAGTATTATACGCCCTAAACAAATGGTAAGATAGATATACCCATCATCAACTTCCAGCTACATTGATAGGTACCGTGAATCAGTATAGCGACAGTTTTCATTCAATAGAAGAAATAGCCAACTACCGATGTTCACTCAGGTCTCCCGTTTTGAGTTTATTCCCCTACATATCACGACCATGAGGAAGGAACACGCTTACTGTACAAGTGTGATTTAATTCGGTGACTCATGAGTTCACACATCATCACATTCCGTTTGTTTAATATAATTAGTAATAATTTTCTCTAAGCCTATTATGCAACACATGGTTATAATCACTTGAAGCTGAGATGTTGGTGTATGAAGTGAAACGAGAAATTTATAGGAGATTCGTTAGTAATCCTGGGTTCCATCTGATAATCCATGCCATCTGTGACAACTCTGCGTCACTTTGTGGAAAAGCTATGATTCTTCATGAGAATGCAGACAAAATCGAAGCTTTTCGGACTGTGCCATGATACCGAATCGCTGGTTATACTTCAACTCAGATAACTTAGTATGTTGGTTTGATTGAAGAATTTGGCAAAAGAATGGTGGTAAATACTGCAGTTATATGCAGCTGATAGACTTTTTGGTGTTAAATTTGTTCTTTGTACATCATTCTAGGCTGAAGACAATCGACGCTGCACTCCAGGGATTTACGGAGTCAGCTATTTCCTGAAGAACATCTCTCTTGGTTGTAGATTTCACTGACTTGACTTACAATCATGTATCATTGAAATAAAGCCGACGTTTCAGTCTAGTAGGCGTTTAAGTCTGTTAAAACATCTTTGATGAGGCATTCCCAACATATAAGTGGTTGGACAATGGGATCAAAGGAATGTCCCACTACCCCATAAAGTCACTTTGTGGAAGCATTTCACTCATACCCGGTGTGTGATACTTCTGAGATCCTGTGAAAAAGGCATGTCAAAGAGAACCTAAATGTAACACTGTAGCTCGTGTCGATTGGTTTGTAACCGTAAGTTTTGATAGCACTCTTTCCCTTTGTTTCTTCAGGGCCTAAAGCACATATCCTGCTGTCACATAGGATGTATTTACATGATATCAGTCTGGGCTGGTAGTGCAAGGTTTCTGATCATAGCATATGGCGATTGTACAATAATGATTCAGTTGCAACTCCCATGGTTCCAGACAGTCATAATGATTTACAACTGAGAAACTAAACGAAAAAATCTATGCGATGAACTTTCCAGGATATGCCAATGCATGGATATACTCCGCTTGGATAACCAGAGAATTTCGAGGGCCATGAGAAATGGGTTTGCAGAGAATAATTTCAAAGGATACTGCACACAGCAGCATCATGTGACCACTAGGATCACTTGCGTGCACCTGTATGTGGATTGAAGTGATTTCTTGCTTCAGCACATGTAATGGAGTTTTGTCGAGAAACGTGACAAGATAAATTGATGTGGATGAGCTGAGGAAATAAACTAGTGAGAAGAGGGCGCCACTGGCCAGGAGTTATCGGCTGTTGACCACTTACGTATCAGTTTCGTCTGTGTGTGTGTGTGTACGCGCGCATGACAACCAAGTGATTCATCGAAGCTTATCTTCCAAGTGCGTGTGTGTGTGTGCCTTGTGCATACGTTAGCTTGAAGCAGAAGTTGCTACTTGATGGCACCAGCTTCGCACCGGCTTTCCAGCCATCAGTTTGTGAAGTTAAGTACCCCAGTACAAAAGATCTAGGAAAACCCAGGAGCCCTCTCTGTTAAGCTACTCACTCCTAAAGCATGAATGCGCATCATTTTAAGCAACAGATGGCGGACCGTTGCCCGCAAGTCAGTCAGGTTCTTACAGGTTCACTGATTCTAAAGTCAGCCATCACGCGGTACTACAGCCGTTTTCTGGTGGCCTACTATGATTGTGCAACGCACATCTAATATGCGGGCCTTCTAAAGATTTTGTCACCTGAGAAACATAACGTTGTTCAGCGAACACGTCACGTTTACCGCATCAGTTTCATTGACACTATTTATACAATCACCCCAGATGCTCTCATAAAATCAGCAACAAATAATCAGTGGATTTATTCCTCGTGGCACCTTGCACGTTTCCCAAAATGTCCAGGTAGGTGGGTGGCAAGTTTTAGAAATAATTTAACGAGAATGAAAAAAATCACACACGTTGGAATTTCATTCTATCCTAATTTTCAACAATGACCTTAAGGTCTTTGTAAGTATTCTTGTGGCTCCCGGTAAATTCAGTCTATTCCGAGCCATATCACTATACTGTGAATAGACGTTTGCCTCATATGACCTTAGAAGGAGCATATTACCTTGCTAAATGAGCGTTTGTTTCGCGTGACGGTTTCCTCCTTTATTATGCACGAACAGTTAAACCATTGCTAAATGGCGTTTGTTTCGCGTGACGGTTTCCTCCTTTATTATGCACGAACAGTTAAACCATGATTGCTCATGGCAGCGTAAGCTTCATTCGTCTGTTACGGAGTATTGGAGGCGCAGTCTGCAACCGCATACTTTTCCCTTAAGAATTGCGAATGGACGGGAGTTATACTGTTTAAAACCCAAGATTTAAAAAATAAGATCTGTTCTATTTATAGCCTTGATCATGTGGACCGAGACGAGTAGAACCTGATGGTAAGGGTCTTCCAGGTATACTGACTGAACACTGAGATGAATCAGTTGGATAATTTGTTACACCAAACTTCTAACGTAGGATTTATGTTAATCTCAAAGAGAATAATGGTGAGCTTGTTTTCAGCTTTTGTTAAAGTCTCCTAACTTCTTTTACATCCTGAAGCCATTCTTCCATCATCCTGATTAATCCTGAACTTTGATTGACAGTAATGCCATGCAACTGTGCTTCTTGAATGATTCGACTAGAATATCGGAGTAACGGGTTTAGAGTACTCAGAGACTAGCACTTAATACGCTGGCGTGAGCGATGTTTCTGTTTGACGGAGAAGATAGATCATGTCTTGTTCCTGTGAATCCAACCTTGCAGCTTCACATTTATGGAAGTGGAATCGAGCGGTTCCCGTCTGTGCACCTGCCAGATTTCCTCTGGCGATAGTGACTTCTGTCTGAGTAGACCCCAAGCAGTGTGAATGTCCCTTATCTAGGCTGAATTGTCACGCAGCTGCGCAACTGTGCTTTGAACAGCGTCCGTGACCGAGCGTGAGTCATACAGCTGCGGTATCAGTCTGCTTGGGATGCCAAGGTGGTACTCGCCTGGACTGAGGCATGTGGCCTGACGAGACTGCCGTTGTCAAGATCAGTCCATTTTCGACTCGCTTACAGTCTGATGCGTGAAATCCTTGAAAATGCCTGAAAAAACGCTCAAAGGAATCTCAAATCTTCGTGATATTTAAAATCTATTTTGGTTAGAATCAAAAAACTCAAACACGCCCATCCTGACATTTTTTTCAAGGAAAACTTCCATGATGGAGAATAATGGCTCATTGACTCACTGCTTTAGAAGGGAAGTTGATCGCGATAGGATCAGCTTGACCCGCACGAAAAAGAACTCGCCACAGTTGATGTAACAAGTATTCTATTCTAATTTGAATGAAAATAACGAGGTTCCGTACAGTGAAAGTTAGGTGGTAAGATAGTCAAGCCATGGATCTTAGTATACACAACTTTTCGGTAAGTTTACGACGAGTAGATGAAACCACCCACAGTACTCTTATAGAACAAAATAAATACAATGAAGTGGGTGAAAACTACATGCCGTATACTGTTAAAACTGAGATCAGCTTCAGTGGATCCCTTGCGTGAAGTCGGTATGCGGCTTTTGTAGTAAACCACTTGAGTGATGACACCATTTAATACCACGCTTCGACCAAGGGGTATCGGTTTTGTGGTACTAAACACAACGCTTTGGAAAGGTACTCGCGGGTCACTCCCACTGTTAGGGCCCAGCATCAGGATATCCTCTGATTGTTTGTGCGGGCGATAGCTCCAGCGTTCGAGATGGAGTGGTCCGAAGATGACATGAATCAACACATTGGTTCTATGTGCATACTGAGGCCTCTCGTGACACTTGGGTTAGCCGATATGCTCGATACGGTACATTATCGTCAAGTTAACCTCAAGCTAATTGCAGTCTCACCTTATCGGAAAAGCCAGTATGATGACCAGGTGGAGGAATGCGTCGAGTCATACGCACGTCGTTTCGAGTGATGAAGTGAGTTACGCCCGCATTCCCCGCAACCTTCCGGTCAACGACTGAACACTTAAACGTTCAGCTGCGAGTGTCCGAAGAGCAGTTTGACTGACTTTCACTTGGGCAGGATATTGTGCTTTCATTCTCCTGACAACACCGATTACACCCCAACTATTCATTGTGTTTTTATGATGTACGTCAATCCTAATATATTCGTATGCTTAGGGAATATCAGAGGTTGGTGTTTTTGGATTATAGCTCTAAAAAGGCAGAAATAGTGCTATCACAACGGTTATCAATAGAAGGTATTTCAGCAACTTGTCAGGGCATCGCAGAACTAGATCAGATAAGCTGATAAGAATAATCAAATGCCCGTAATAAGACAGCTAATGGAGCGAACGTTTCCTTTATCAGAACGTGCCAGGTATACCAGATGGACCGATAAGAACGCGCTAAATAAGGGGTGAAACGATAAATTAAAAGAGGCTGTTTCCGAAAATAAACCAACCATAACCATCAAAAGAAATACCAAGAACAAACAGCGAAAGCCACTGCGAACGACAACTTCCGACAAACCAATCATCTAAACACTACTCGGTCGACAATATTGAGGTGGTAAGAACCAATAAACAACCAGAGAATAGGAATCACTCTTAGCCAATCGCGCTAGAGATACGGACTGTTATTAGTTAAGCTGCAACACCCTAGCATTGGAGGAGGAAACACCCATTCAAGAGCTCTCGAATGGTATCTGTTGGAGAGAAGACGAATGGGATACCGAGATTTGCGAATAAGCCAAGAACTAGAAAGTGCACTGCAACAACCACTATTCCAAGAATTATATAAGAATTTGCAATAAGCTGAAATTCAGAGTTCGCCAGAAAAGGTTATTATTAGCAATAATGAGACTAACAAGCACCATATTTTCAGCGTCGCTAGGTAAGGGAAAACTACACCGATAGTCACAGATTTGCACTGAAAAATTCCCTACTAGGCATGTATTTGTTTATCTGGTTTCAGGTCACTTGGAATCAGGGAACTATTGAGGGAACTGGATACAGACAGGGATGGAAAGGTCAGTGTGGATGAGTTGAAGCGCCTTCTTGATAGCGAGAAATTCGTGTGCGACAAGAAAGTCATCCTGGAATTTATTAAACACTGCGACCGTGATGGAGACGGGAAGCTTGATTACAATGAATTAGTTAGGGCAATTAACTCATGAACCTTTGGTGATTGTGCACAATTACAAATGTATATCACTGTAATCTTCTTTATAAAATACATTTTACGTGTATTTTATGGTAATTTCTCTTTTGAAAGTTCGTTTGGGTTGGCTGAATGGGTAGGCGGATAATTTATATTTTTTCGGACTGTGTAAGCTGTGTATGTTTTCTGCTTTTTTTGCTGGACTTACAACGTGGAAAGAGCAAAAATCGCTGTGTGGGGCAGGCAGTCCTCTGGTGTGTGGAGTACATGTCCTAGCCATCGTAACCCATGAAACGTGAGCAATTCGTCCATCGTGAGAGAGTTCCTTCTTACTAAAACCATATCCCACCCACGGAGCTGGACAGCCTTGCTAAATTGGAAACAAGGAGGTAGCATGAGATGTATGGTAAAAAACTGGTCCAATACAAGCCTAGCATGGTAATTTCGCCGATCACTAGGTGGTATCTAGATTTTAGCCACTCCTCCACCCCAACATGAAACTTGTCTTTTTTCAGTAGGCTATCATTAGGAAAATTTAGGCACGCAACTGGTAAGGCCCAAAATAATGGCACGTATCTATACGCCCATTCTGCGAAGCACACAATATAGATAGGCAGAATCTTAGATGGAGATGTACTCTGAACAATCATTTGTGAGTGTCCTTATACGAGAATTAGGTGTATAAACTCCAGAGTTCCAAGTTTGTAATAAAGTTAATGCAAAGGTTGGAGGTAATCATGAGGAAGTTTTCGATAAAATCTAAAACGACTGTTCAATCAGCGGACAGATGTCGGCGTAAAAAATCGATGTGTGCACGGTAGGTTGCATGACTGTCGATCGGAAGAAGNATGCGAATAAGATTGTAGGTAGGTTTCGAGAAAGTTTAGAAAATTCAGTCATCCCCTAGCGTTCACACGAAAGTTACCCACCCAGAGAAGTGAAGAAATCTTGTGAACGCGCAAACGTGGACAAGACTCGCTTCACGATTTAGGGAAGGATTTCCGTCGCTATAAAAGCTTACCGTTCATGAATAAAGCAACAAATTTAAGTTCAGCTGTTTACTACAAGACATCATTTCTTTGTCATTTTGTTGTTCATCCAGTCACAACATTTCGGGTACCGGAAATGAATACGGTGTAGGGTGTGCTAGATGTGTACTCCAATCCTAGGCTTTGAATCGTGTAGTTAAGGTCACGTTGGGATGTTAAGAATCAGGTTTTCCCGTAATTTATCTTGGAGGCATGGGAAACGTATGAGTCACTTTCAATCAGATCAACTCTCGTTGTGCGATAAGAACATGGAACTAAATCTTGGAACCTTACGAAAATTTGCACTATTCTGCTGGTAAGCTGAGTGGCTGTATGTTTGTTGTGGACATATGTAATGATTATTCTGTAGATGACAAGTAGTCATTTTATTGCTTCTTGTTTCATCAAAAACAGTAGGGAGATTAACATACAGCTGCGAAGTATTCTTCATCTACGGCGGTTGCTATTGTAAACACGCCAGGTAGAGAAACAGTTTCAACGTAGCTCATTCCGTATGAAGTCGCTGAAAGTCTTCTCAGAGCCCCGGGAGAGGGCTGTGGAAGTCCACTGCACCTTTTTAAACTTACTAGGTAGACGTGGTCACTCAGCTTCCATCAAATTCCATCGATTTAACCGAATATCTCATTCGGGCAGTTCTTCAACAAAATGTGTTTGCTGCTCAAAGTTGGGTTCAGATTTTGGTTGACAAGATGTTTGCGATATCGAAGTGCGTTTTCTTGCCTCAACTCATTACTTCTATGTTTAACGAAAAAACTTGGATAACTCATTACCAGTTTCACTACTTCGGATCTCATCAGGCTTGTCAAGTAAATAATAAGGTAAGCGGTAGGTAGTGTATGAATTATATCTTTCCCACTGCACTGATTTACAATGGCAACCACCCCAGGTAGAAGTTATTTCGTGGTTTCATTGCGATGTTTCTGCTGTTTTTACGAAATCTAAAAAAAACCCGACTAATCACTGGTCATCTTACATCACCGTCATCATCACCTCCAGCTGTGAAATCCCGGTAATTACCTTACATTTTCTTGGCTGGAGCAGGTTTGTTCTTCAATATTTTGTGAAGTTAGGGGTAGATAGCTACGCATTGGAGGCATTAGCTGACACAATTAATGCGTCAGTACACGGGTGTCAGTGGTTCTTTCATTGGTAAGAACGAGAGGAAATGACATGCACTGAAGACAACAATCTGGATGCATGGGCCCCGTTGAGCGCATACCTGGGTCATTTCTAACAATTTCCGTAACCATTGATGTGTCTCGTCTTGAAGCCACCGGTCCAGGAGAGAGCAAAGGCTAACTTTGCCGCTAATGGCTCGTTGTTACCCTTCCCATGCGAAAAGGGCTCGTCAAGAAAGTCGGTCGACGAAGTACTCGACCAGGCCAGCGCAGCCTATGAAGTGCAATCACTTCATTTGGCATGGGCAAGTTATGTCTTCCGAAAACCATTCAACATACTTCAAAATTACTGATCAGCTGTTGCCAAGGCAACCCACCAGACATTCACTGAGTAGCCATGTTCATGACCTGTTAACAATATGGATGGTGCGCAGCATTCTAAACTCGATCCTTAATGGATAACCTGATGTCACGCCCATGCCACAAGTGATGCAGTTTCGCAAAAGTTGCTTTAGCCTTCCCAATGCGAATGGAAATATTAGCTTCGCTTAGACCACCGGGGACGGCACAGCTGCCCAAGTAAAAGACTTTGTTTGCTACCTAAATCGACTCACCTACAAGCATAGCGCTAGGGCTCGAGCCCAGCTACCCTTGCAGAAACACTTTGCAAGTTGCAGGTGTGTGGTATATGGCAAACCGTGAGGCGGATTTGTTCAGATTGTGTGTAGTTATCTGGATAACAATGGCGTCTGATACAATAAGACGTAATTGTTCTGCGTACATCATAACCGTGCGCGAACTTTCCGAGATCATTTCGACCCCACAGTTATTAGAGACTGAGAATGGGTCTTCCATGCTCATCCACTTGGTGTAGTGAACTCACTCGTCCGCAAGACTTGCCACACACAGCTTTGGGCAGGGTCGAAAATTTAACTGGGACATCATTGTTCCATAGACTTAAACATGATGCCTGATGGTCCATAGAGTCAGAGACAGCCTTTAAGTCAAGGAATACAACCATTTCTGGTTGGTGAAAGCAGTTTCGCTGTTCTGAAATCTGTCAGAGGGTGAAAGTAACATGGCTATATCTTCTTGCAGGGAGAAACCAAGCCTCGTTTTCCCAGATGTATCTCTCGATGTGTCCAGTGAACCTTCGAAGGGTAAGGCCAGACAGCACCATCGATACTACGGCTACCAGGCTGATCCGCTGTGATTTTCAAACATTATCCGCCTGCCGTTTTTGAAGATAGGAATATTTGTCCACATACATCAGCAAAGGTTGTGGTCTTCGTTAGGTGATGCGAGCGGACACTAGGGGGAGCTGATGGGCTTAAGGGACATGGACCAGTAATGCAAAATGAGTCGGCTGTACCAATCTTGTCACCTTTATTCACATTTTCTCTGACGCTTTGTCCACTACATCCGAAAACTCAAGTGTGAGTTAGTTGTGGACAGGATAAGTGGTCAAGCTGGTTAAGCTGGTTGAGCTTTTTATGGTCGGTCTGTCACGTTGTCAGACTGCCCAGCATAAATGCTTCCTGGTTCGTGGTTGTGGTTGCGGTGGAAAGCCGTAACAGCTCGGATCGACTGCAATTTCAATGTTGAAATCCAGTGAATCATTACGATAAACTAGGATGACGATCTCCTCCAAAGTTGCTTACACCAAGTTCAAAGCGAACTTCCACATCTGTGCTCAAATACTTCTTTATCCGGGCCAAACAATAGTAAGGCTCTTTCGAGTTAGCTGATCCTGAACCTTAACTTGACTCCAACGTTGATTATTCCGCTTCATGTTGCCGGTGAATTGCTCAGCCCGATGAACATGTTGTGAAACACAGGTTGCTGAAAACTCTTCGACAGCCCACGACGAGTTTCGCCCTTCTTGGAGCTCATCAGGTAGGCACAGTGCCCGAGTATTCCTTCCGTCAACCCTACATTTTACTTGAACTCCAACTGCACGAAATTAGCGATATACACTCATTTGTATATCATTTTGTTTTTTTTCATGGGAGACGCACCTGAAACGTCTACGCAATATATCGCGATATATCGAAAACTGTTCCAACTGAAATATGCGGTGGTCTGGTGCAGCACATTCAGTTGGTTAGAATCACCATAAACGAGAGATTCAGCTGAATTCTAGGCGAGTTTCCCGTCAAAACCTAATTGGTATGCAAATGAGTGCATTTCAGAAACGAGCACCGCTTGTTTGTGCTTGCCAATATGTCAGACATGACTATGGGATTTCCGCTGCAGATACCACTCATAAAATACGGCCAACTTTAAAACCCTTTCCGAAATCTCTTTTAAACATCAACAAGTTTTCCGAGCAGGACACTTGAACAGAACATCGTTTATCAATTTAGTGGTAGCTGGCCTACAGAAAGTTTAGAGCTTCTTTTTTAGAGCAGATCTGTTAGGCGCAGTTTCACAGTATCCGGTGAACACATTTTATACTTAAACACCAATTAATTTATAAACGAGATTGTGCACTAAATTTACACCGAACAGACGTTAACCGGGGACCGCTTAACCATGACTGAAACTCCAGTTCATGATGTTCTTCGTCTTATTTTGCTACCTATTAACCCTACGAGCACTTCAAAGTCCTGTGCAACATATTCATCTCTAGAACACTATAAACACGACCGCCTGACGCAGGAATAGCGTCCAGATCATCAGAGTCAAGGCAAGTACCATCCCCATCAACCCATCTGTGATTTGACCGGGCAGCCTACTGAGGCGAAAGACCGACCGTCAGATGTGCTGCTGAATAAAACAGCCTACTGGTACATGGATTCTCCAACCCAAAGCTTCGCTTGAGCTTGACCTGCTAGCACAGTTACTAGTGTAACGTAGTGACTCCCTATAAGCCATCTAAAAAGCAGCGAGAAGACAGCAGTATCGCTTTGTTGAACATGGTGTAAGATTAAT